TAAAATGACTAAAAATAACTTTGTGAATAAGCCTTGCTTTATAAATCATCTTTCATTTAGAGGGAGACTGAGAAAATTAAACAGCTCAGTTGAAGTGACAGTGAATAATTGAGGCTGTGACACTGGTCAGGTTCTATTTTTCAAAGTGCGGAAATTAAAATACAGTGTGAATATCATACATAGACTATGTACATATAATCAAACCTGAGTCATAATTTGTAGATTTACATAAAAATTGTTCTGACTGACTAATTATGAGTCAGTAAAGTCACTAAAGTCTCATTCCAGGCAAGTTGCATCACTGTAAATGTGTTTTTAATTAAGACGTTTAAACATTTCAGTTGGATGTCTGTGCTGATGAAAGGAAAAGTGGGTCCCCTAGTATTAGTATTTTATAAGCATAGTTAAAGTGAATGGGGATTTAAGATTTAATGATTTGTTCTTAATCAAGATGACCATTTGGTCCAATGTGTTATGTCACATGTTACATCTGGTGACATGATCTATGATATGACTGTTTTACATAATGTCAGGGTGTCTTTTCACCTGTTGAAGCTCAATAGTGTGTTTAGTAGTGTGTTTAATAAAGACACAAAAGATTGTAATTGTTGCTTAGGGACACAGTGTTTGTCTATATTTGTGACTAAGATGAAGATCAGATCACATGCTTTGACCAATCATCAATTAAACAAAACCTGGTCCTTCCAGAGGGTTCACCTACTTTTTCTTGTCATTGTAAACTAATTATTGCGAGAGATGACGGCCAAGTAGCTGTATCCAAATAAAGCCCACTGATAATGTGACGCTGGGCCATATATAAGGATAACAGAGTTAGCTTGATTTAATTGTTGATGGTTTGACACAGGCCTGGGTTTTTCTGTTCTTCAAAGCCAGCTCAAAAAGTCTGTGGCGGGCTGCTCTCAGAGCAGAAAATCCTGAACTTAAACCTAAAGTACAACCTTGTTTACACTTGGGTGTTACATGACAAAGACTATTCATGGTCAACCCCATCAATTAACTAGTTTTCATATATACACTATAGTAGTGCTCTCCCTTAGAGAGTTGTAATAATTGTTTTAAAAGAGAACCTGTAGCTTATTCAGAAGTAGTTTCTTCTTGAATAATTATTGCAAATAAAGGTTCTTTATAAAGATTAAAAATAACAATACTTAGTGAAAATAAAAAATATAATAAAATGGCACTGTTGGGGTTTTACACAATGAGACAGTAAATAAAGTCCAACAGAATAGTCAGATAAAACAAAAAACAGGTGTATTCACGTTATCTGAGTTCTGCAGTGGTACATGGTGCGCTGACCAACGTGGAACAAGACCCTTGTTTTTTTTTTTTGTTTTTTTTTTTTTGCTGTAGTGAATGAGCCTTAAGGCAGCTAATTAAAAAAAATTAGGCTATTTGGACAATAAACTATATTGTAAATGAACTTAACATGCACAGTGCAAACATGCAGGCATGCAAATATTTTTCAAATATATAAGACATATTGATTCTTTTCCTCTGACACATGTGAAGTAATTTTGTCTAATTCATGGTGATTCATTCTCACGATGTCCTCCTCCAGCCCCAGAAGGGGTTGAGACTCTCTGATTGCTGCACAGTTGAATCAAAGGCCACTAATCAGAGTAGAAGTTTAATTGGAGATAATGACAACAAAAAAGGAAACAGAGTAGGTGTGAATCCGAGTGACTCATACACTGTTACCCCTTACAACTCTGGTTATCTGTTGGGCTCAGCTCAGTGGATCACAGCATGCGGCTGGACAAGGATATTGAAAGATGGCTCAGACTTCAGGGACATGTATGTCATTAAACCCTGGTCCTTATGTGTCAGTGTCAGTGATTTTCATACAGGGGTTGCTCACACACACATATTCACAAAGACCTGAGGAGACTTTTAAAATGAGTCAGACGATTTTTGGTAATAAAAACCAGGAAGTTATCTATATCTATATATAAAGCAAGGTGTTATGTTTGTTGCTGATAACATAACACAAAGTAATTCACTCAGGTTTCTACTTTGTAAAAATCAACTATGTAAATTCAGTATGATAAATTGGTATAAACCGAAGGAATTGAGGAATGTTTGTTACTTTTTAATTAATCAGTAATGTCCTTGATTCAGCTGGAAATCTAAATCTTAGATCTTATCTGTCCTTGGTTTTAACTTGGTTTTAACTGCATTATTGAATTTGAGATGCTAAAGTTTCAAAACTTTTGACATGTAAAACAATGTTAATTTCGACAATCAAGTTAGAGGTAAAACAAATTTAGAGATTGATGAAATACCTTTAACTTGATTTGTCTTAAAACATTCAAAAGAAAAGTTGTAAAAGTGAAGTGTTGCCAAGAAAGTGCTGCTTTACATAATTTATTGAATTTAAACTACACTTAATGATAGACCCAGATCTGCTTTTCTCCACTGATAGTACTTCATGATTGTCCTTGTCAGCCAGCGCCCCCACTAGTTTTCGGTTAGTCACTGTTCAGATAACGCAGTCAGCAGAGGCTGGAGAAATGACATTGATGTGATTAACATGCTGCACCTTTTTCCATAGACAGCACTTCCCACTGTTGGTCTTGGATAGCCTTGGTTACAGTGGTTTTGAGTCTGGAATATAATGTGTGACAGCAAAAAAGTGTGAAAAATATAAGGTTAATATGTATAATATGTAAAGTATGTATAATATAAGTATAATGTACTGTGTGCAAAGCTTAAAAAAATCTTTGTTTGACATGGCACTATTTCCATGGACTATATAGCTTAGTTTTATGTAGAATTTTTCACCTTAAGTGGACGATTCAATGTCAAGTACACCAACTGTAATCCAAATCAAAGCAGACCCTGTTGTCTTCAATTTGCTGCCCTCCTCTGACACATACGGACTCCTTACTTAAACCTGGTCCGTCTTTCTGACAGACTGACATGAGAAGAAAAGCAAAATTTCCACGCTTCACTTACTCTATTTGACCCTAGTTCACTCACACAGATTGGTGTACCAGGTAGCACAATAGCTGTAGGATTACAAGTGAGACTTTGGTGACATCCTTTTTATCCTTTTCAACTTCATAAACAGCAGCTGCTTGTTGATTAAAGGATTTGCTTTTTCACTTTTCCCACACATCCTTCCAAAGTGTGAAAATCTCTGGCTGTCTCTCCTCTCTCCCTGTCTCTGCCTCTATCTCATCAATCTCCCTGTCCGCCTTTTTCTTCTCTCTTTCACTTGCGCTTCTCCCTCTTGTTCCCTCTACCATCACATCTAATCTTTCATTGGCTCCTCTGTTTGCCTGTCACTGCTCTGCATTCACAACATTTATCTGTTGTCAGTGCCTTACACTGATTGAACTTATCACAAAATGCAGTAGAGGACTTTTATGCTACTAGAAGAGCCTTTGTTTGGTTTAGTCTTTCATATCTTGCCACAGGCAGTAAATGAGTCACTTCTCTTGTTTGTGAGGGTCCTAAAAGCTGAGTAGTTTTTTGAGTAGTGACAATTTTTCTGCCCATGCAGTACAAGGACAAAACAATATTAACTGATAACAATGGCTGAAATGTCTGATTTTCAGCCTTTAGCTATTATGACACCAGTGAGCTGTTTTGAACCCAAGGTACAGAACTACACTGTAAACATACTTTGTCCTTTAGATGTGACAATGACAATTATTGCCAATTAGCTGTATTATGTTTTTCATTGCCAAAATAGGCTACTATGATTTAATTACATAATTTTTGGGTGTGAAAATGTAAAATGTAATTTGTAACAAATTTACATTAACCAAAGTACATGTTTCTCTCTTGTTTCCACAAATTGAAACGTACACGTTTTTAATCATGAAGTGAATCCATTCAAGCACATTTTAACATATCTTTGTGTCAAAAAAACAAAAACACATGTTATCCCTGAGCTGATGCACTATGTGTTAAAATTTAACACGTGATGTTTTTAACACATCTGTGTTACACAAGAGTGCAAAGGAATAGTTTGACATTTTGGGAAATCTTCTCATTTACCTTCTTGCTGAGAGTTACATGAGAAAATTGATACTACTCTCATGACTGTAAACATGAAGTTGCAGCCAGCAGCTGGTTATCTTAGCTTAGCATAAACACTGGAAAAATGGGGATACAGCTAGCCTGGCCCAAAGGTAACAAACATCCAGCTACCAGCATCTCTAAAGTTCACTGTGCCAGGCCAATAAATTATTCTGTAGCCCCCATAAGACAACAATGTGCTTTTTTTTGTAAAACATCATATAATGCCTTAACTAACGTGCTTTAGGGGTCCTTGTTGGCAGATTTAGTTTTCTTTGGACTGGGTCAGGCTAGCCTCTTCCCCCTGTTTCCAGTCTTTGTGCTATGCTAAGCTAACCAGCTGCTGGCCCCAGCTATATATTTCCCATACAAACATGAGAGAGGCATCAGTCTCTACATATTCCTCAGCAAGAAAGTGAAAAAAGTGTATGTCCCAAAATGTTGAAGTATTGCTTTATTTAGCAAGTTGGAGCACCCACAAGTGAAAAGATGAGACGCATGAATGTGGAAACACACTTGGATTCACTTGTGGCATAATTTGACTGTCACACTGTAATAAACTAAAGTAAGAGCTCAGTATTATTACCCGCACTGTTTGATCACTCAATGTATCAGGATCCAAAGTTCTACCAGGCTATTTTTTATTTTTATGACAGTGATACTACAGATTTAATCATTAACTAACTCTACTTCTTTGTACATATTATATTGGGCACCCAACATTTCAATGTTGTAAGTATTCATGTTTGATGAGCAACATTTGCAGAATATATTTTGGAGTCAGCATCATGTCTAAAACAACAACAAAATAAATCTTTAAAGAAAAGGCTTAAAGTTAACAGAATGGCCTATAGGCACAATATAAAACAGAGACCCTGTCCAAAACCAGCCTGTTCACTTTGATTCAAACACATTTTGTTTTCAGTTCATGTTAGTTTTGATAAGCAGTATTTTCACTGGTTACTGACAAAGAACACAAGGTGTATGGAGTAGACAGAGTCCAGAGTGTAAACAATGAAGTTGAAGATGGTCATGAAGGTGACCATCACTAATTTATCCCAGGGACAAAGGTGGCCACAGTTATTAGGTCTCTTATTGTTGGAGAAACTGTACAGTGGCCATATCACCATAGCTGTCGAATACATCACTGCTGCCAAAATGTTATAAACAATAACCAGTTTGTCAAAGGAGAATGGAATAGAGGTCAGCTGTCCAATGGTGAGCAGGATTATGATGATGCAAAAGATGAAACACAAGGAGTACACGGCCACGCACCACTGCAGTCCCGGGGAGCCGACATACTGCTGTCTCTCCAGGGACATGAAGATGAGACAGGCGAGGAAGGTCTCCAGTATCTTCATTATACCGGGCAATGTGGAGAGAAACCCGCTGTTCTGTCCACTCGGGCGAAGGCGTGTCAGGGCCACCTCACCTGCATACACCCCGAAACAGAGCCAGGACATCACAGATGCACCAATCTCGCGGTGGCAGGTGTTGCAGGTGAAAAAGGTGGGGTAGATGATGGAGGTGGCCAAGCACATGAGGCTCGACAGTATAGCAAAGGCAGCGGTGGAGTCATCCCAGGCGAAAGGTAACTTGGCGCTGACAGTTGTAAACTCCAGGATAAGAATGAGAAGGGTGAAGAAGAAGCAGAAGACCCAGGTGAACATGCACCACGCCCAGTAGGGAGATGAGCTGTAGCCCACCGTCGCCACAAGGCTAAAGCACATACAAGTGAGGATGGCTGCCAATATTCGAATGATGCCCACAGGCTGGGTGAGTGACCACAAATTCAAGTGGATCATGGCTGGATTGGATGAGTCTCTTTGACCTAAAAAAAAGTTGTGTTGTTTTCTTTTCACTTCAGTTTATTCTACGCTGTCCATCTCTCAGTGCAGCAAGGCTTTAGCTTCTAAACCAGATCCTTTTGAAGAAATCCATGCAGACAAGAGCCTGGGTAGGTGTGTTCTTTGAAACTGAAACTCAAGTATGGTGAGGTATATTCAAACAGAGCATCCCAAGCTTATCGGTGTAGTTTATGGCATCTGTTTCTCTCTACTGATTGGATAGTGGTTGGGTGTTATCATGATCATCTCACGCCACACACTGGACTCTGGTCCTCAGTGCAAGCCCAGTTCAGAAGCTAATCTCCAATAATGATGGGTGTAGGTCACATCCTAAGGAATATTGCTCTTATCCTGTCCTTGAGATCACTTGATTTATTGTTTCTGGTGGGAGAAATGGGAGCATTTGGATTATTTTTAGGCATTTTATGGAGTAAAGTTGCATAGTGAGCCAGCTTTTCCCCTTCCGGCAGATGGCATCCGTCTTCAGGGACCATATGCCATCTACCAGCTCTTTGACATTTGCAGTGAAATGCTGCGTATTTTTTTTTATCAGTCAGTGGTGGCCAGTGTACTCTTTTATGCTCTTAGTTTTGCTGGGCCGCAACATGTCCGACATGAACACAAAGAGACCGGACAAGCTGGTCAAAAGGTCTGGGTCTGTGCTTGGCAGGCGTCTGGACTCACTCAGGACTGTTGTGGAGAGATGCATGCAATGTAAGATGGAGGCCATCATTTCTATTATTATTATTATTATTATTATTATCATTATTATTTTTTATTATTATTATTATCAGTAATGAGCTAATGGACACATGAATGTCTCCTAGAGGATAAATAAAGTATCTTATCTATCTATCTATCTATCTATCTATCTATCTATCTATCTATCTATCTATCTATCTATCTATCTATCTATCTATCTATCTATCTATCTATCTCAAACCATTTTTATAATCTGCATTCACAAAAAACAGACCAACAAGTAGAGCAAGATGTTGTATTTGTAGTGTATTTACTCTTGCATTGTGAACAAACAGTACGTCATTACATATAGTGTTTACACTGCACACAACCAAAAGCAATTTGTTCTTCACTTTTCAGTCTCTTCCTCCTCTCCCCTCTCTTTTTCTCTCTTTATTTGTGTTTAAAGAATTGTTTTAATATCCACTCCTTAGTTCTTGGTTCTTCCCATTTTTCACTTTTGTGCAGAGCAGGAATTCCTGGACCAGTCAAAGGTTATGTAACTCCCAAGAATGCACATGGTTATCACTGACATCATGATATCATTAGGATAAGGAAAGCAGATTTAAATCCTGACAGATTGCTCACTTTTGTTATATTGTTTGAAAAAGACACAACATATAAACATATAAATGTGTAAACCACCTCTACTCTTTCTTTTCCATTTATTCAGTTAATTATCTTGTGTATGAAATGTAAAAAAAATAATTTTTTTTAAATAACTGCAAGTCACAACTTCCCAGAGCCCAAGATGAGATCATCGGAATGTCCTGTTTTGTTCCACCAAAAGTAATAAATCCAAGGATATACAGTGTGTAGTGATAAATGACAAAGATAAATAGCAAATCTTCTCACATTTTGCCTGAAAAAAACAATAAAATGATTAATCAATTATCAAAATAGTTTCTGATAATTATATGTATTCTCTTATATGCTTGATTAACACACTAATCTTTTCAGCTCTATGTCATGCACATATGTTCTTACTGTGGTTTTGCAGTTGCTATTGACAGAAAATATAGATGGCAGGTATGTTTCCCTCCCTCTCTGTCTTTTCCTTTTTCTCTCTCTCGTTGCCCATTATAGAAAAATGGGAGTGGAGACTGAAACCAATAGCTGCTGTGAGTGTGTCAGGGTATGCACACTGTGACACACCTTTACAACATCCTTTGAGATGCACAGGGTGGGTCCCACTGTACCTAATTAACCATTAACCAGAATTCTTAACCATTAAACATATTAATTTAATATGTTACTGAGGTGCTGAAACACCATAACCTCAAACTTATGAATGAAATATAACAAATTTCAAATGCTGAAACTGAGATAAAAACTGGACACAGCGATAGTTTTTTCATGTCATCATCATGACAAAAAGAAGTTTTCTATCATGGTTGGTACAAAAACGAAATTGAAATAAAATTTGTTATAAAAATAGTCATGTTCAATCTTCGAGATATAAGACTGCCAAAAATGGAGGAACATTTGTAACCTATGTTCTGCTGACGAAGAAGACCAGTCTAAAAGAGTAAACTGTATCTACAATGTAAGCAACGAGGTTAACACAGGTCATGAAAGAGATGACCACTAAATTATTCCACGGACAAGTAACCACTTTTGAGCAGTAGCTGGGTCTGGGGTTGTTCTTGAAGCTGTACAACGGCCAGATAACCACAGCTGTGATGTACATTAACACTGCCAACACGTTGCAGAATATCAGAACTTTGTCAAACGGTGCCGGGAAGAGAGACAGAAGGCGGCAGATAGTAAAAATAATGACAAGGGTTGCAAAAATGAAGCAGATAGAGTAGACGGCGACACACCATTGGAGTCCTGGAAACCTTGAGAACGCAGTGTAGTCCAAGCAAATGAAGATGATGCAAGCCACGAAGGCCTCCAGTACCTTGAGGAGGCCTGGCACTGTGGATAGAAAACCACTGATCTCACCGGTTTTGGCCCGGGTCAGACCAACCTCAATGGCGTACAGGATGAAGGCCAGACAGGAAGTAACAGTGGCACCAATTTGTCTACCGCAGCTAGGGCAAGTGAAGAAGATCGGATAGATGATGGACGCTGCCAGTACCTGAATGAGAGAAACATCACGTCTGAAATGAATCCTAAATTCTAAATCCTGTAAAGTAAGAGTTCATTTTACTTTTTTCTTGTGCAGCAGTCACATATGAACCATGTTATGGATACATTTGAGAACCATTTGTATTAATCTTTGAGCAGCAGTAAATATGCATATAGATAATGTCCTAATGTCAAAGTCACTCAAACATGTATGGGCCTGCTAAAGCTTATTAATTTAATATGTTGTTGAAATGTTTATGGTGGAAAAGAAATTTTCTATTTTTTCATCAAATTCTATGGTTGTGAAAAAAAAGCATGGACCCAATGAAACCTCTTACAATTTCAAGCATGTCAGCATAACAACTACATCATTGAATTTTGTAGTGTTGTGGAGTTGGTGGCATCGGGTACTTTTTTTTAAAAATCAAAACTGACAAACTGTATTAGTTCATTTATTTTGGTTCCTCATATGTTTATTTACTTCTGCAAAATCTAGACTTTGATATTGCCAGTGACAGTAATGTTCAGTGACAGTGACTAGTCACTAATATACTTGACCAACAAGCTGTGACAAATGTATCATGACAATATCTGCAGATAAAGACAAAAAACAGTGAAAAATATCACACACCATTAGAGTAGCCAACATGGCAAAAGCTGTGGTGAAGTCATCCCAGGAGATAGGCAGCTTGGCGTTGAGACTGGTGAATTCCATGAAGAGTATGAGGAGGGTAACGCAGAAGCAGAAGCACCAGGTAAACATGCACCACGTCCAAAAGGAGTCGGTGCTGTGACCCACCGACGCCACCAAGCTGAAGGAGATACAGGTGAAGATCACCTCCAGTATCCGCACGATGCCCACAGGCACCGTCAGTGTCCTGAAGTCCAGCGTAACCATGGTGCTTGTAACCCTGTGGTCAGTTTTCTGTGCTCCTGGATAGATGGTCAACTGATCTCTCACCTTTTCACCAGTGTGTCTCCCCTGTCCTTACTGATTTGATATTTTTTCTTGTATATAATGTAATAGTAATATGTAATAATTTCCTTCCTAGCCCCTCATCCTGTTAGTTCTTCTTGCATGTGACGGACAGAAAAAGAGGGGAATTTGATACTTCTGGTCACTCCCTTGCCTTATCAGTCCTTCCTCAAATGGCCACCAGTTATATGGAGTGTTTGTGAAGGGAGGCAGCGGCCTGTTTTTCACTTCCATTTGCCTTTCAGTTGCAAAAGGCTTGGGTTTTAAGAGGTTAATAAAAGAATTGTGATGTTATTAAAGCAGTTGTGTAAAACAGGAACCACACCTTTTGACAAAGGACTCACTTCACTCTATTGCTCATCAATTATGTTTGGTTAGTTCACGGCTTGCCTACTCATCAGTAGTTTAAACATGTAAATGTGTTACAAGAAGCGTAGGAGGAATTAGGCCGAACTACTGCAGTAAAAAGAGGAGGTGTGAGGGAATGGAGGGAAAGGAGTAAGGGAGCATTTGGAGATAATTCTGAACACTGGATAGAAAAAATGCAGGTGTGAGACACACACACAAGAAACAAAATCCAAGATTTAAGATATAGATTTTAGCTTTATGGCATAGACTCGTCAACTAAGGGCTATAAGTTATACTGGCCACTGCTACTGACTGCCAACTTTTAATTTTACACACACAGCACCAGATTTTCTCTTGCTTACCTTTGAATGACCTATTGAACCTCTCAATGTGAAACACATCCATTAAGGGTCAGGCCTTTATCTCAGACAGAATAACTGGCTTGTGTCAAAGCATATAATGGAGACTACAAGATTAAACAAGTCCTACATGATCTCTTTAATTGCCAACAAATATAACAAGTAATTGGAAAACCTGAAAGAGACAGAGCATGACTTAACTGTTGTCCCTGTACTGTATGACTGTATAAATATATACTGTATAAAAGATAGTATGAATGAACTTGACATGTGTGCTTATCATTGTTAAGTATATGCACACAGCAACATTTTTTTGTATCTTGCAGGCTTTATCCTTCCCTTTAATATATGAGAAACTACACTCACTGTTATACTAGCTCCCCTCCGTCTGCTCACCCAACCCCACCCATATGTTCTTATCAGGGGGAAAAAAATCTCTTGTCCAAGGGTGTTAGGTCATTAGAAGCGTGGCTGTTTCATTCTTGCTCCGTTTTAATTCCAAGTGGTAATGCTTTACTTACAGCCCACACATTACAGTTATTCAGTGTGTACAACACGTGTCAATGAAATACTTTTTGCAATACTGGGGCCAAAATGAAGTGATTTGTATATTAAAAAGAAAATACATTCATACTGACAAAGACACATTTTTGTCATCCTCATCACCTGTATTTGAACCTCAGAATGGATTGTGACTGATGGTCTGGCTATTCAGCCCCCTTCCCCGCCTCTATACCTCCTTTGTCTCTCCTTTATGATCACTACCAGCTTATCTTTTCCTCTCAGCACACCGTTTATTATACCAACACTCATGTGGAAAGTACACTGTGGAATGAAAGACTGAAGACACAAAGAACACATATAACAAGGTATAGACAGACAGAGGGGCCACCTGGCTGTGTTCTTGAGGGAAGTGGTTATTGGGGGGCACGGTACATGTCTATAAAATTTAAATGAAGATGTATCAGTAAGTTGCATGTGTGAGTGCTAGATATGAGAGCAGAGAGCTTGAGTGCTGTCTATCCAGGTGAGAGGGGTTGGGTTTTCTACTGTTAATTTCTTTAGTGAAAAGATTTTCTATTCTATAAATTCTTATGTGATATTTTGTCAGTGAGGGCCATAGCATATGATTTGCATCATTTTCATACACATCAAACCATTCAGTGACACCTCAGATTTCCTATGGATGGAGGCATTGTCATTCCCATCAGGACAGAAATGTTTCATCACAGGATAAAGGTGATCAAGTCGACCCAAAGCATGGCAGCAAAACAGAGCCGCCGGACCTCCTCATTGTAGAGGTCAAGCATTTAGGCCTGTGTCACACCTCACATGCACTTGACAAGAATATGGTGAAGGATGACTCATCTGACCATGTCACTTTTTTCCACCCCTCTGTAGATCAGTGCCTGTGGTCTTTGCTCCGCTGAACTCTCAAATGTGCATTCATCTGTGTAATGATGGTTTTATACACTGCAAATAGAACACACCTCTCTATGTAACTGACGACAGACCATTGCTGACACAGTCTGATCATGTCCTGCAATGACATTCTCAGTTACCTGAGGAATAGTTGCTAGCATAGCAAAGGCAGTGGTGGAGTCATCCCAGGTGAAAGGGAACTTGGCGCTGACAGTTGTGAACTCCAGGATGAGAATGAAAAGGGTGAAGAAGAAGCAGATCCCACCATTGCCACAAGGCTAAAGCACATATAAGTGAGGATGGCTGCCAACATTCAAATGATGCCCACAGGCTGGGTGAGTGACCACAAATTCAAATGGATCATGGCTGGACTGGATGAGTCTCTTTAACCTAAAAAAAGAATTGTGTTGCTGTGTTGTGTTGTGTTGTTTGTTCAGTTCAGTTTATTCTGCGCTGTCCATCTCTCAGTGCATCAAGGCTTTAGCTTCTAAACCAGATCCTTTTGAAGAAATCCATGCAGACAAGAGCCTGGGCAGGTGTGTTCTTTGAAACTGAAACTCAAGTATGGTGAGGGATATTCAAACAGAACATCCCAAGCTTATTGGTGTAGTTTATGGCATCTGTTTCTCTCTACTGATTGGATAGTGGTTGGGTGTTATCATGATCATCTCACGCCACACACTGGACTCTGGTCCTCAGTGCAAGCCCAGTTCAGAAGCTAATCTCCAATAATGATGGGTGTAGGTCACATCCTAAGGAATATTGCTCTTATCCTGTCCTTGAGATCACTTGATTTATTGTTTCTGGTGGGAGAAATGGGAGCATTTGGATTATTTTTAGGCATTTTTATGGAGTAAAGTTGCATAATGAGCATCTTTATCAGACCATTTTTATAATCTGCCTTCATAAAAAAACATACAAACAAGTAGAGCAAGATTTTGCAGTATATTAAGCATTGTGAACAAACAGTATGTCATTACATATAGTGTTTATACTGCACACAACCAAAAGCAAAGTTTATGTATTATGATCCCTCCCTTTTTGTACAGAGAGCAACAATGAGTTTAAAAAAGTAATGCAGAATTGTGAATTTCTTCTTCACTTAAATCTCACATCTCTTCCTCCTCTCCCCTCTCTTTTTCTCTCTTTATTTGTGTTTAAAGAATTGTTTTAATATCCACTCCTTAGTTCTTGGTTCTTCCCATTTTGACTTTTGTGCAGAGCAGGAATTCCTGGACCAGTCAAAGGTTATGCAACTCCCAAGTATGCACATGGTCATCACTGACATCATGATATCATTAGGATAAGGAAAGCAGAATTTAATCCTGAGAATTGTTCTTTCGTTTTATTGTTAAAAAAAGACTGAACATACAGATGTGCAAACCACCTCTACCGTTTGTTTAACATATAAACCTACTTAAATGATATCAGCGCGAATGTTACTTAATTCTAGGACTGCAGCAGAATTATAAATTCATCATTCATCATTATGGCCTGACGATATTTTTTTATTTATTCAGTTAATTATGTCTTGTATGAAGTGTAAAAAAGAAAAAAGAAAATCCAAGGATATATAGTGATAAATGACAAGAAACATAGCAAATCCCCATCCATATTTTTCCTTGAAAAAACAATGAAACAAATAATCATTTATCGAAATAGTTTCTGATCATTTCTATTATATTTACTCTATTATCCGCTTGATTAAAATACTAATCATTTCAGCTCCCAAATCATGAACATGTGTTTTTCTCTGGGTTTGCAGTTGCTATTGACAGAAAATAGCAGGTATGATTCCTTCCTCTTTTCTTTCTATTTTCTCTTTTGCTGCCCATAATAGAAAAATGGGAGTGGAGACTGAAACCTGTAGCTGATGTGAGTGTGTCAGGGTATACACCGACACACCTTTACAACATCCTTTGAGAGGGACAGGGTGGGTCCCACTATACCTATTTAACCATCAACCAGAATATTTAACCATTAAAATATATTCATTCATTGTAATTTATTACTGACATACACTGATACTGATACACAATAACTTCACACTTTTGTTATATTTTATTCATAATTCAAATGCTGAAATCGACAGAAAGACACACCAAATGAGTTTCTAATAGTTTCACTCTGTCAAATCAATACAGAATCAAAATAAGAGTATTGATAAGGATTACATATCAGCCATGAAGGTAGAAGGAAAAAACTGGACACAGCTATAGTTCTTTCATGAAGACTGTTGATAACTGAAATAGAGAGTATTCTTATAGGAGGAACATTTGCAACCTATGTTCAGCTTTAGGAGAAGACCAGTCTAAAAGAGTAAACTGTATCCACAATGTAAGCAATGAGGTTAACACAGGTCATGAAAGAGATGACCACTAAATTATTCCACGGACAAGTAACCACTTTTGAGCAGTAGCTGGGTCTGGGGTTGTTCTTGAAGCTGTACAACGGCCAGATAACCACAGCTGTGATGTACATTAACACTGCCAACGCGTTGCAGACTGTTAGAACTTTGTTCTGTCCAACAGCTTCTGGGCATGCAGACAGGAGTTGGCAGATGGTAGAAATAATGACAAGGAATGTGAAAATGGAGCAGATAGAGTAAACAGCGACACACCATTGGAGTCCTGGAAACCTTGAGATCGAAGTGTAGTCCAAGCAAAAGAAGATGATGCAAGCCACGAAGGTCTCCAGTATCTTGAGGAAACCTGGGACTGTATACAGAAATCGACTGTTCTTTTCAGCTTTCATCAGACAAACCTCAATAGCGTGCAGGATGAAGGCCAGACAGGAAGTAACAGTGGCACCAATTTGTCTACCGCAGCTAGGGCAAGTGAAGAAGATCGGATAGATGATGGACGCTGCCAGTACCTGAATGAGAGAAACATCACGTCTGAAATGAATCCTAAATTCTAAATCCTGTAAAGTAAGAGTTCATTTTACTTTTTTCTTGTGCAGCAGTCACATATGAACCATGTTATGGATACATTTGAGAACCATTTGTATTAATCTTTGAGCAGCAGTAAATAGTATATATATGCATATGGGACTGTCCTAATGTCAAAGTCAGTCAAACAGAAGCCACACAGCCAAACAGGACTTCACTTCATCAGCAGCAACACAAACTCACTGGACTTTACAAGCAACACTGAAGAGGACCTCTTTCTTTTGTTCCTAGGACTGGGTAACATTAATTGACTGGGCCTAACCTAACCTAGCAAAGCATATCACCCAACAGCTAAGGATCAGAACTCTTAACCTTTTTCAATGTTCATGTTTGGTTATGGTGTCCCATTAGCTTTGTTGTAATGTTTGCTTAGGTTGTTGGTTAGTCACAGTTAATTTGGTCCTTGTATGTTCACACACATACCTTTAGTATATCTCAGTTCTAGGGCCTGCATGCAGCTAACCGTAATGTACTTGACCAACAAGCTGCAAGAAGTCTATCCTGACAATATCTGCAGACAAAGACAAAAACAACACTGAAAAATGTCACACACCATTAGAGTAGACAACATGGCACAAGCGGCAGCGAAGTCATTGCAGAAGTCGGGCAGCGTTTCTCTGAGACTGGGGAATTCCATGCAGAGTCTGCAGAGGGTGAGGCTGAAGCAGAAGCACCAGGTGAACATGCAACACGTCCAGAAGGAGTCAGTGCTGTGACCCACCGATGCCACCAAGCTGAAGGAGATACAGGTGAAGATCACCTCCAGTATCCGCACGATGATGTCCAGCTTACCCATAGTGCTTCTAACCCTGTGGTCAGTTTACTGTGGTCCTGGATAAATGGTCAACTGATCTTGCACCTTTTCACTAGTGTGTGTCCTCTGTCCTTGTTGATTTAATATTTTTTTCTTGTATTTTTTTGAATAATCTTCCTTCCTAGCTTCTCAACCTCTTAGTGCTGCCTGCATGTGACGGGCACAGGAAAGTAAGAACCTCTGGTTGCTCCCTTGTCACCACCTCATCAGTCCTTCTTCTTCAAATGGCCATGAACCAAAAGATTAATGCACAAGTACGTAACAGTTATATATAGGGTTTGTGAAGGGGGGGCAGCAGTCTGTTTTCACTTTCTATTAGCTTATCAGTTGCAAGAGGCTTGGGTTTTAAGAGCTTGATAAAAGAATTGTGATTTTATTACTTTCGACACAGGACTCAATACACTCTATTGTCCATTCATCAGTAGTTTAAACCTGTAAATATGTTACAAGAAGCGTGGGAGGAATTAGGCCGAACTACTGCAGTAAAAAGAGGAGAGTGACACATTGTATATGTGAGGAAATGGAGGGAAAGGAGTAAGGAAGTATTTGGAGACAATTCTGGTCTTTCCAACTGCTACTGACTGCCAAATGCTAATTTTATGCACACAGCACCAAATTTTCTCTTGCTTACCTGTGAATGACCTTTTGAACCTCTCAATGTGAAACGCATCCATTAAGGGTCAGGCCTTTATCTCAGACAGAATAACTGGCTTGTGTCAAAGCATATAATGGAGACTACAAGATTAAACAAGTCCTACATGATCTCTTTAATTGCCAACAAATATAACAAGTAATTGGAAAACCTGAAAGAGACAGAGCATGACTTAACTGTTGTCCCTGTACTGTATGACTGTATAAAAGATAGTATGAATGAACTTGACATGTGTGCTTATCATTGTTAAGTATATGCACACAGCAACATTTTTTGTGGATTTTACAGGCTTTATCCTTCCCTTTAATATATGAGAAACTACACTCACTGTTATACTAGCTCCCCTCCGTCTGCTCACCCAACCCCACCCATATGTTCTTATCAGGGGGAAAAAAATCTCTTGTCCAAGGGTGTTAGGTCATTAGAAGCGTGGCTGTTTCATTCTTGCTCCAAATTTTGATAATGCTTTACTTACAGCCCACACATTACTGCGCAGTTATTCAGTGTGTACAACACGTGCCAATGAAATACTTCTTTTTTTTTTGTTGCAAAACTGGGGCCAAAATGAAGTGATTTGTATATTGAAAAGACATTACACACATTCATACTGACATCCTCATCACCTGTATTTGAACCTCAGAATGGATTGTGACTGACGGTCTGGCTACTCAGCCCCCCTCCCCGCCTCTATACCTCCTTTGTCTCTCCTTTATGATCACTACCAGCTTATCTTTTCCTCTCAGCACACCGTTTATTATACCAACACTCATATCGAAAGTACACTGTGAAACGAAAGTGGCATGAAAGACTGAAGACACAAAGAACACAAATAACAAGGTGTAGACAGGTAGAGGGGCCACCTGGCTGTGTTCTTGAGGGAAGTGATTTGTGGGGGGCACAGTACATATACATGTTACATAAAATGTAAATAAAAGTGAAAGTGAAAGAAAGTAAAATAAAATAAAAGTTGCATGTGTGAGTGCTAGATATGAGAGCAGAGAGCTTGAGTGCTGTCTATCCAGGTGAGAGGGGTTGGGTTTTCTACTGTTAATTTCTTTAGTGAAAATATTTTCTATTCTATAAATTCTTATGTGATATTTTGTCAGCGAGGGCCATAGCATAGGATTTGCATCATTTTCATACACATCAGACCATCCAGTGACACCTCAGATTTCCTATGGATGGAGGCATTGTCATTCCCATCAGGACAGAAATGTTTCATCACAGGATAAAGGTGATCAAGTCGACCCAAAGCATGGCAGCAAAACAGAGCCGCCGGACCTCCTCATTGTAGAGGTCAAGCATTTAGGCCTGTGTCACACCTCACATGCACTTGACAAGAATATGGTGAAGGATGACTCATCTGACCATGTCACTTTTTTCCACCCCTCTGTAGATCAGTGCCTGTGGTCTTTGCTCCGCTGAACTCTCAAATGTGCATTCATCTGTGTAATGATGGTTTTATACACTGCAAATAGAACACACCTCTCTATGTAACTGACGACAGACCATTGCTGACACAGTCTGATCACCTGAGGAAGAGTTGCCATTCTGTTTTTCCTTACATATCACAAAAATGCATGAACATCACAGTCATAAAATGTGCTGCCGACCACTATTTTCAACCGTATTTACTGATGTCTTTCCCATAGATCTCAATGCAGATGTCACTTTACTCACTTTTCGGGTTGTAATACTCACTAGTTGAGCATCTTGGTGACTGAAGCTCTTGCCATCCGTGCCCCAACAATGAAACTTCTTACAGTCACTTAGATCTTGTCTTAGATCTTCAGAATGAACTGGGCCTGATCAACACTTTTATACATGCCACAGAGCATGACTGGATGTTAATTGTTTAATTGCACTATGCAGTGCTGTGGAAGCATATGCATTCTGCATGTTTCTTCACACATTTATTCAGGTTTTTCCTTTGATTTTGATTTTTGGTGACTCCTAAATGAATGTTTTATTTATTGTTGTATAGTGTTTGATTTTGTTTCTTCCAGGGTCCGGAAAGTGAACTGAATTGAACTACTGGAGCGCAATGAATCGAGCTGGTGATGCCCTCTTCTCTCTGTCTCCTCTGATTCCTTGTGATACTGTAGCTTATTTCCTGTTTCATTGCACACAATCATAGTCTTGTCAACAACATTGTTTTCTGTTTTTGTTGTTGGTTGACTGCACAAGGATAAAATAGTTATCTGATTGAGGCAAACAGTAATTTCGGGGCTGCTGTATGAGGACTATTAATCAAATCACTGTTTTATTGTTACACAAGAGAAACACCAACAGCAGAAACAGAAAGATGCAGTAATGTACATTATGTTGAAATGATTCTGACCTCTAGTGGCTGCATGTGAAAAATAGACAATTACTTTTTCTGGATTTGAAGTCAGAACAGCACCTTCCCATGTCTGCCTGTAATGATCAGTGGGCCTGTAACATAGTGCATTCCAGAGGTGATGTGTAATGTTCTTGTGACAGTCCTGTGACCTCTCGCTATCCCCAGCCCCTTCCTGACTGTCACCAGGCCTTCATGTGTCAAAGTCATGTGTTTAGATTTGGATCATTCACACTCACTTAGTGTGAGGAAGAGAATGTCTGGATTGTACAGACACTGACAAATATATTTTGAAATGTTAGTAAAATTACTATAAATAGTTAGAGTTGTGAAAGAATGTGGCATGGTTCCTCAAAAACACCAGAGAGCAGCAAAAGACTTGATTCAAGGACTCATAACTGAGAAATAACAAGCTCCAGAGAAACGCTGCTTGGTTAGAGCAGAACCACACAGTACTTTGTCTAAATCTGTCATTTACTTATTTCCATTTCAGTACTGAAGTGTAGATATTCTTTTATTCCACTACATCTCAAATTTAGGTCAACTGCCACGGTTTTGTGGTTTGTATATGTTTACTGCCAGTTAATGTCACACTGCTGAGGAGAGAAAAAAAGACCAAACCTGTCAGAGGACATAGTAATTTTGCTCTGTCTAACAGATAAAAGGAAAATTTTTGTAACAATTTTTGTAACCATAACCATTTTAATAGGCAATAACCTCTCACAGGTTGTTCCTTCTGCATCATGGACGAATTATGCATCAGTGTGTTGCAACTGTGTAGGTGTGTGACTTATAACGAGGCTATGTGTGCAATGTTATCATTGCAGAATGGGTAATGAAGTGGCATCACTGCAGGGGATGGGCTATCCAAGGCAGGCAGAGATATCGATGACTGACTAACAACACATTACTCATGATGCGTGCCACTTTCCTGGCTATGCTGTCAACTTTTTCATTGTCATAAGTGGATTGTACATGTGGTCTTTTATAGGTATGTAACAACTAAGCGTGGAAGCTTTTTCAGTAATTTTCCAATGCCTCTTGTTAGGGTGAACTTTCAGGAAATTTCAAAGGAAGGCGTAGCCTGCCCAGACAAAGCATAAACAGATGTGGCATTGATAGGACTCTGATGTCAGAATACTTTCCTTGGTCACAGTGTTTAGTAATACTTTTGTATTTTGTATTGTGCTTTTTCCAAGGTTGCTGACTGAAACTGTGATGCACCGGTGTTATGAGGCATTATGTTAGGTCAACAAAGAACACTTGTTCTTAGCTATAACCCACAGTGGTCATTATTATAAATTTAAACAAACACTGTAATGCTACTCTGTTTCTTCTGACCCACTCATGTCACATAGAAAGTGGGAGGAGAGAAGGGGAGGGGGCATCATAAAGTTGCATAACTTGTTCATAGGAGAGGAAATGCAGATGGTGGTTCTTCTATTAGTTTTACAATCATTGTAGCAATTGTTCTCTAATTGTACCGTGTATTATCCTCACTATCCTTCTGTCGGTGCTCTCTTGGTTTTACTGACCTTCTTCCTGCCTCACTCGGGACCAGGCACCTCCCGGAGAGATCTTTCTGTTGATGGAAAATCATAGGTAGGTAAATCTTATTTTAGACATTTGTAGTTATATAATGATCATCTGCTGTTACCAGTGTGTCAAAGTTCTGTGTTTGTGTAAGGTATGATTATTGATATACCTTATGTAGCTGATATTTTCCACGACTGTGGGACAGATGCAATTGTCTGAATCAAGTTTTTTTTTATGTAAGAAGCATTTTTATTCTGTATTTCTGTTGTTGGGTTGGGTTGTAAGCCTTGTCCAAACAAAGTAGGGCGAGGCACAGGCTCAATAAATGGCGACTCTAAAGTGCTTTCTGTGTGCATGCAACGCATGTTGCTCTAATTGATTCAAGATTGACACTGACTGGATCTGCTCACTAAGAACTATAGACTTGGCAGCATACACTTTGGCACTACATTCTTCTGTTTTATCAAAACAGAGACTAAAGAAGCACCAGTCCACTAATGCTGGTTTTGGTTGGACTAATGTATGATTAAAGAGGATCTTGAAGGGTATTGGGCAACATTATCATCAGTGCATAGATATATTATTCCATGCCTCTCCCACTGAGAAAATATTGCTGCTCATCACTGCTGACATATGGCTGCCTTGGAAAAAGAGCTACTTTAGTAATTTGCTGACATTTCTTTAAAGTTTCAGTTAGTTTTACTGTTGTAGTTAAGTCCAGTTTTGAGGCACAGGGGATGTATATTTTACTGGCGTATTTCCATTTCATGCCACTTCTACTTCACTACATTTCAGAGGCAAACATTATACATTTTACTCCCCTACCTTTAGTTGACACCTTTTAGTTAATAGTTATTTTACAAATTAAGAGTTATAATGAGCCTCATCTTGACCAACTACAACCATAAAACACTGCTCATTCATTAATGCATTAATAATAATAATCACATATCATAATACTCACAGGGACCATTTTTATACATTAGTACTTTCATATCACAGCTAAAGCTTTTTTCTCATCATTTCAAGTGCAACAATGTAATTTAAAATGAAATATCTTAAAGGACCTAAATACTTCTCCACCAGTGGTTTTTTGTACAGCACTGTGTCTCAAAGAAAATCCTGCCATGATGCTTTTGCCTGGTGACACTCACAGGCATTCTGTCATTTTCCACATGCTGTTTAATGTAGCTTCCATCGTAAAAAGGTTTTATGATTAAATCTGAGCCACTGTTATAATTGTCTGATACTGTCTAAATGTCACAGTAACTATAGATAATGTGATTGTGGTTTAGAAATGTCAGATATGTGTGTGGTTTGAGTATATGCCCTGGAACTCTAAATTAGTTTCCACCACAGTAGAGACCCTATTCCTCTGACCAAAATACAGTTCACTTGAAATATTTGTGATGTTTTATTGTCTTTGCATTTCTTAAGAAACCAAACCTATGCAACAAATGCTTCAACATGGTAACAAATGCATTGTTGGCCCCTGGATATTTGACTTCAGTTTATATATAGTATACACTTTCACTACCTTTGCCACATAGCTATTGTTATGTTATGAAAGTGAAGTGTTGGCATACTGTATGTTTTTGATGTGACATTACATTAAATGATATTCAGGGAAGAAAACCAGTGTTTATCATTTATGTTCAGTAGATCACTTACAGTAATGCTAACTAACCATTGATGAAGAGGCCTACATGTTTTCATGGGCAATGTTTTAGACTAAAATCACTTTTCCCATATCCAGTCAGGATTTCTGAAGATGGAAAAAGGATACCCACCACAGGAATCTGCACCACCTTACCCTGGACCACCTATGAACTATGGCCCAGGACCTCAGCCAGAGATGTACCCTCAGCTGGGCTTCTTACCTGCAGCAGCTCCACCTGCTGGATACCAGGGAGGTCTGTATCTGAGGCTTAAGTGGGTTAATTTTTGCCCTCCCGGGGCTTTACATGATTATTTCACACCTTTTTTCTGTGAAGAACACATAACCCCCCTTTAGGCAAAGAATGTTAAACGACAACTATCAAAGTCCAAAAAGAAAAAGATTACCACTCCCGTACCTATTATAACGTATGTTATGTATTTATTTTAATCAAAGACTTATGTTTTGGTAGGTGATTTATGGAAATATCTGTATCTGAACCGTCCCTTCCTGTTTTGGTAAACTGTGTGTTTCATCTGCCAGGTGCTCCTTTTGCTCCGGTCCCGGTTGCACCTGTCACACAAGGTGAGGAGATGCATCTGATCCAAGATCACTGTCCCATGTAAAACACAATAGAGATCCATGCATACAGCATGATTGTCCCATTTCTCAGAACATGTGCATGCACACAGATGCATGTATGAAAGGTTCATTTGCATAGTGCACACATCTGTGAAAGCACATCTTATAACACAAATCTGTGAGCACGCATCTGTGAACATGCATCTGCAGATAGACCAGCTAGCCACATTATCTGGGTGAGGTCCTCAGTTTCCTGCCAAACTGAATCTGAAGAATTGCCCATTGTCGCCTCTGTGCGTAACAAAAAGCTATTGTTCGGTGTTTGTGCTGTGTACAGTCAGATTTTGAATGTGACTTTTTGTAACAGATGAGTAAGGATTTTTATCACAGGTATATTACTTCTTCACATGATCCCCGCATGTGAAAATTAACATTATTTCAATCTGAGTCACAGAGGATAAAACACTCTTTATTTTCCAGTTGGATGGCTCAGTGGTGTCAGCTCAGAAAGGCGAATGAACCAACAGAGCACTCATTACAAAACAGACGACCATGCCATTGTCAAATCACAGTCTCTGTGCCACCCCTGCTGGTCTTGTTGAGTCAGTACAGTCAGTGCATTTTATCCTTTTTAGTTCGACAGTAACAACAGAAATGTCCGACTAGCTCTCCACAACAGTTACACATGTTACAGTTACTAAATTATGAAAAAAATGCATTAGTTGCACCCCTTTTAACATGTCTATATATTTTACATTGGTCACAGGTAAATTCTGACAAGGATTAAAAAAGTGTGTAGAGTAGCTTCCAGTTAACAGTGATCATATGCTGCACTGAGAAATGGGTCTTGAAAGGGTGCTCTGCACTCATTTTGAGCTTGCACGTCCTTTATGTTATGTACTGTGCATTTGTCATCCTCAGTAACTCACATGGTAGTAACACCTGCACTGCAGGATGTCCCAGGACAAACTGTGTGTCCTCACTGCCAACATACTGTGATCACCAAGACAGAGCACACAGCGGGTCTGATGACGTGGGCCATTTGCGCCAGCCTCACTCTCTTTGGGTAAAAACAACCTTTTGGGTAGACACTTGCTGCACGTCTTGTTGCTCGTAGTTTCTATCTTCCTGAAAAAATAAAGACAGACTCTTTAACCATAAATCTGAAACTATAAAAGAAAAAGTACAAAAGATCCTGTAAAAACAAGTAAAATCATTATCATCATTATTTCAATCATTATTTTAGGAATAAAACTAGAAAGTTATAATTGTCTTTGTTTTACTCCCACAGGTGTTTTCTTTGCTGTTGTATCCCATTCTGCATTGATTCCTGTCAAGATGTGGAGCATCGCTGTCCATCCTGCCACAGAGTAATTTACGTATACAAGCGAATGTGAAACTATCCTGACTGTGAATTGGGGAGAGGAACGCAGTGCTTATATAGACAGTAGTTTATTAATAGACTTACTTCCTCTGCAACATTGATTCAAAACTTATATATGATAATATATAAGTTATATTAGTAAACAGTGGAACATTTATTAGGAAGGAATATAAACCAAACAATATGCCAATAAAAGTTGCTCTTATTTGTCCAGTGGTGAATCCACTTGGTTTCTGAATGTCTTATTATCTGCCCTGTCACTATGTCTGACATTTTCTTCTTTCCTTATCTAATTGTGCTTCATGGTTTGTCATTCTTTTTTATTATTGCACTCACTGAGTTTATACTATTTGTCACGAATTAAGTTAAAGACTGAACCCAAATGCAGACCAAAACAAGGGAGTAGGTGGAAAAGGATATGATTTTACTTCCAAAAAACACAAGGGACACAGGAGTAAGGGAACAAGGAAATCCAAAAAAATCCAAACAGGGTCAAACAGGATGAACCGAACAGGAAGCAAAAGCACGAACAGAGAACACCGGGGACTTCAACAGATAGCAGAAGCCCAAGGAAACACAGGGAGCTTCAACAGACGACCTGAGAGTTTTTTGTGTTGTGAAACATTGCTTGCAGAAACTATCGTCTTGTGAAATGAATTTTGAGCAAACATTAAGATGATAAAAGGGTGAAGATAACCATGAGATATTGGTATTCACCTGCATACTATCATCTATATAGTCTAATAGTACAGTCAATTTTGAAAGAAATCATTAATATTAGCTGTTAAGTTTCACCATTTAACATCATGTGTAAATTAAAACATTTTAATGACTTTAGCTGTAACTTCAAATATCAAGAGAAAACGAAAAAGTGAAAGTAACATTAGCTGCTAACTCTGTCCATTACAAATGTAATATATAATAATAATATGGAATGCAACAGTGAACCTTTCTTTTCCTGCCAGCGTTGCTACTAAAGAGTTGGTAGTGAGGTAAAATAAAAAAATAAAAAAATAAAAAAAGGGAATATAACGGTTCAAAAGTGCATCCAAAGTGATAAAATGCCAGTAATCTCAGCTGCTAAATTGGCCATTAACTATTTGGGAAAAATATAGTATTTTCAATAACATGAGCCATCACAAATTCAATATTGATTTGAAATGAAACAGTGACAATTAGCGTTGCTTCAACATAATGACCTGCTAATTTTGAGAGACACAGTTAATGTCAAAATAAAGCTAGTCAGTTGCTGAAGCATCGCAAGACAGCCACAGAGCTCTCACCTACACAGACAACATTCTCTGAAAGAAAGACAAATAACAACTGCTTACGTAGTCTGTTTGTCTAATGAACAATCAGCCTGAGCCCAACTAAATTTCATTAAGGGGTCTAAGTCCATCTCATCTAATAAGATTGATTGACAAGAAATTACTTTCAGTAAACATCAGCAGTATACACAAGAAAGACACAAATTATATAATTTTGTAAACAATCTGATTAATCAATCCAAGTCAGACTTATACTTATCAACACAGTATATTAAACTTCTGCCCACCCCTACAGTCATGGTATAACCTGTGACATCATGCAAGAGCATAAAAAAGGGAAGTGTTTGGCGTCCACCCTGATTTTTTTTTTTAACTCCAGGGGCCCATAGTGAGTGTGGAGGATCAAGTTGCTCAGATTAAACCAGTTAAGTATGGTAGAATTATTTCCTTAAATCAAAAATAGTGATGGTAACTGCAACAAAACACAATGCTAACCACAAACAAGCCTCTCAGACTGTGTTTCCAGTGCTAAAGATTAAGATGGAAATCTGGCTAAACAGAGCACGAGATCTGTGTTCTCACAATTGCTGTATAAACATACACACTCTGAAACACATAATAAATATAAATGTAAGTGCAAGTGACATTAGCTACTAACTTTTGGACATTACAATTACAAAGATAGCTTTAACTTTGGTGTCACTGACAACAAATTCATCCTTTTAATTCATCCTTATGTCAGAATCAAATGGTTCCTCTCACTGTTTAACATTATTTATCAGTCTATAATTTGTATACTGATAAATTAGAGACTTACAGTCAGTTAGGGAACTGTCTGTTACATTTTGATCCTGTGCAAATTTCAATGACCTGGGTCCATAAAAATGTCAGTGAGTCAAAATTAGAAATGTGGGTCTCTGATGTGGACTTCTTTTAAGTCACACAGTTAGCTATAAACTGGCACTGAAAAAAGAAAGTGAAAGGGTAGGTAGGCCTACACCTATAAAACACTTTCTCCTGTCAAGTGAAATTTGACCTGACTGTTATTCAAATGTAGCACACTTTCACATACTTAAACTATAGTTTTTGTTAATTCTGGGATTTTATACTCAGAATCCACTGATAATGAAATAACAAGGTTTTGTTCTTAGTACAAAGTTTTGAGGATGTTAGCAAGATTGTCAATAAGAAAGAGTCTTAGAAGTTACAGTAGATTGACATTTGATATTGAGGTAAATCAGTGGTGAGAAGTAACTAATTACATTTCACTATACTGCTGCAACGATGAATTGGAGACTGACAGGCAGTTAATGGTAGAGAGGTAGTGCCTTTTACATTTTGATACTTTTGATCCTTTGCATATTGTATTGACCTGGATCTCTGCAAATGTCAATGAGTTAAAATTAGAGTGTGGGTCTTTGGTGTGGACTTCTTGGCTATAAACTGACACTGGAAAAAGAAAGTGAAAGTGTAGGTACACCTATAAAAACACCTTCTCCTGTCAACATTGGAGGGTCACTGTCCAGCGCCACACAAGCAAAGGTAAAGACTTTTTGTCTGATATGGAAGTAAAATATACTATTGTGATTGTTAAGCTAAAAATTGTTTTAAGACATGAAATGTGAACCTATCCTTTAAGGCTAATTACATCTAGAAAAATATAGATCTCACAATTCTGTCTTGACTTTAGTCTTGCAAGTTGCTCATGTCCATTATAAAATACAAATCATTCATTTTACTTTTACAGATTAAACCAGTGATAACCAACATTTTTGGCTTGGGGTATTTTATAAAGAAATCCAGCAGCTATGGGAGGAGGTAAGTCTTGACCTGTCACTCTTACTCCATCCTGTAAGATGTTCCAAATGTTATAAAAATTATTCAAATTTCAATAATGACAACATTCAGGAAACAGCACCACTTTGGAGTGTTTAAAAATATACCTTTGTCTTATTGTATGTGAATGTATGTCACTTGTCCTTCAGCATCTTCAGTCCTTAGTGAGCCATGGAGGCAGCTGCCACAGTAAGTATGAGTAAACATAAAGTCAGTGCGGTGCCATTGTACACTTGGTGCGTGGTTCTGCTCCTTAACACATACCTCAAATGGCCTGTTGTTGTTTGGGCTGATTGTTGTGTGTGGCAACAAACCATCAGCCACAATGTTGCGCATAATGAAAATCACATAATATTTTAAATCTAATGTCTTTAATTAACAGGAACAACAAGGCCAATCTCGATTTTGTGAAATCTTATCAACCTCGAAACAAAGAAGTCAAACATCTCAGAATTCTTCTTCATGGGCCAGTTGGTGCTGGCAAGTCCAGTTTCATCAACTCCGTTGACAGTGTTTTACAAGGCAGAGTGACTGCTCGCGTTATGACAGATGCAATCTCTGGGACCAGCTTTACCCGAAAAGTATGAATAACTGTTGATTGTGGTGATTCTTAGCAAAAATGAAATGACCACATAATTAATTTCAAATTATAATTATAGTTCACATATTCAAATAAGTTCTGATATTACTACTAATGATACTGCTTTTTTTGTTTTGTTTTGTTTTTTTCTTTTGTTTTTTTCTTTTTTTACAAACATTGGCTTTGTGTTTTTGAGTTACATTGGAGGTAAGAATAATATTCAGCATAAGCTTTAATTTATTTATTTTGATAGTTTTGCATCCAGTTAAATTTTAGGTTAATGTGTATCACTGATGTATTTTAAGAACTGGATGGTGAGAGATGGTTTCCATTTATTTGAGTGAAATTTGTTCACTAAGTGCATGAGCCAAAAAGGTGCCTTGTGTCTGGATTTGCGTTTGCATTGTTTGGCGCACAGTCCTGATTGGCTCACAGACTTTATCAAACAAATATAGATACATATTTGTGCTGATTTAAGAATTGCATAATCATTTGGAATTTGCTGAAGTGATTCAAATAATTTCACCTCCTGCTTTACAGTATGCATCTTACAAAATCAGGAAAGAACCGATGGGCCATTACTCATTCATTTTCAATGACATCATGGGTTATGAGCAACACACTAACAGGGGAGTCCATGTGGAAGACGTCAAGATGGCCCTGAGAGGACACGTGAAAAAACATTATGAGGTACAACACTTTGAATTTTGACATTATTTAAAGGTGCCATGTGGCGCTTTCTTGTATACAAAAATTTATTTGCTTGTAGGGATTCTTAAGGTTTAACACCTATGGCGAGCACATTGTGTAACACATTTAAACCACGTGAACATGCAACAAAAAAACAAAACATTGACCACTTGTAGAAAACCTGTTCCATAGCACTACTAGAGGGACTAAACTACAGGGAACCATCAAGTTAGCTGCTTTGTTTTTACTATTCTGCATTAAATATAATTTGATTTGTATTTTATTATTTTCTAGTTCATTCCTGGACGCCCACTGAAAGAGGGTGACCTAGACTACAACTCATCTCCCACACTGGATGACAGAGTTCACGTTCTGGTTTGTGCTATTCCTGCCGCCTCAGTGTCTATAATAAGTGACGATGTTGTGAAGAAGATGAGAGAAGTCAGACTGGCAGCCAGTGACGCGGGTAAGAGCAGGCATCACAATAGTTGTTGCACTGTGTGGACTAATGGCGTCATATTGGATTTTATGAATCAAAAGAAAATTCTTAAAATACTGATAAGTTGTCTGTATTAACAGGGATTCCCCAACTGGTTATTATCACCAAAGTTGATGAAGCCTGTGATGAGGTCAGAAAAGATATAAAGAATGTCTATAAGAGCATATACCTGAAGGAACAGGTAGGTTTCTATTGGTGATTTTTTAGAAAAGGTTGTTTGATTTGATCTTGTTCAAATCTTGTCCAAGTTCAGTATTCCAGCATGACAATCTCCTTTGATAATCACTGTACAATTACTAATCTACAGAAATGTTGTTAATTCAAAACTTAGGTCGACAAGATCCACAATTTGCTGGGCATTCCACTGAACTCCATCTTTCTTGTGAAGAACTACTGTTCAGAAATCAATGTAAATGATGACGTTAGTGCTCTGACGCTGTGCGCGCTGAGACAGATGCTTTCCTTTGGAGAAGACTTCATCGACAACCTGTAGACCTTCAAACTGCTGAGGCAAATGTTTTTCATTGTGGAAGTCTTACGAATGTGAAAGTAATATGCACCAATTTTAATTCTGATTTTCAAGCATGCTATATTTAAAATATTCATTGTATGTGTTAAATTTGTGTCATGTCAAGATGAGAGGATTGTTCAGAATTTTAACATATCGGTGTATATCAAATCATAAATGTATCACATTATTAATCAATTAACAATATGTACTGTAAACTATTTTTGAGGTACATACTCTGGTAATGAGTTGTCTTGTTTGTCCAGTGGTGGAAGGACATGGATATGGGTAGAGTGTTGATTGCTAAGTTTTGTCTCTCCTCTTCCAGTGGAATATTTTGTTTCAACCTTTCTTACATTTTAATTTATGAAACTGGTCAATCCATTTTGTCTTTGTGGCATGGCCTTTTTCTTCAGTTTGTTGGTTTATCTTCTGAAAGAGAGTAAAAGAGAGACAATATATGGGTGAGGCTATGTCAGTTGATGGAGAAAATATGCAATGTCACCTGCAGAGTTCAGGTAGGCAATGTCCTACCATGGAACTGCAGCAGGTGAAACCAAAATAAACACCTTCTCAATGTAAAGTTGCCTCAATGTCTCCATTGCCTAGAAGTACGGAGACCTTTGGGTGAAGGCTGGATATCTTCAAAGGATTTTCCAGCATACTACGAAATTTTATAGTTGTGTGGCTTGGGCTATGAAAAGCTGTAATAAACTAGAGACCAGCATGTTGACTTTCCCGCCATGAGTTCTCAGTATTCATTACTACATTATTGTATGAGTATTCAGTGTTCATGGGTTGGATCACAGCCATCTTCAAACTCTGCCTTCACTTGAACTCAACAATTTGTGACACTATTGCATTGATCAAATCTGTCCACAGACATATAAGCACTGGCTAAACTACTCAAATCCACCCCTGATGTTGTGGCTATAAGGGTGTGACTGGGCTGAGATACAGTGTAGAGGCAAACCATTCATGCTCACATTCACACCTACAGGCCTTTTAGAGTTGCTAATTAATCATCGCTTGAACCTGATTATACCAGCAGGCTTTGTGCTGGTGGCATGTAACCTAAACTCAGCTACTGCATAGGGCTGTGTCAGATGATAGGTATAAAAAGATATGAAAAATCTGTAGAGTTCAGACATCTGATGGACATTATGCCAGCTTTGTACTGCACCAGCTACTGTAACAATTGTAAGCAAATCAAAGAGATCGCTACAAGACAGACCATCTCCTAAGCAGTTCCTTACCATTGTAGTGGGCCCGTATTGGCCAAGAACCACCAAACTTTCAGCTGGGGAGCTGGGTAGCAGCATGATATGCATGATATGGGAATGACCATGAGTTTCATTTTATTTGTGTGCTATTTGACAGTTCTGAGTTTGGACATGAGCGTTCCTAATTAACCCTGTGCCTTGTAATTAAACGTTTTGTTCTTTAGTAGTTTTTTTCTTGGCACTACACAGTGGTATATTTAGTAATCAAGGGAACTGACATTTCAGCCATTGTTCCGTCTTGTTGTATTACCAGTACAGATGCTCTGAACCATGACATAACCATGTTCATAGACACAGTTTTTCTTTCACTTTATAATCATGCAACCCCTACTTTTAGAAACTGTATGTTATCACTCAGCAGTATAATTACAGAACGGAATTTAGGGTGTGGGTTGTTTTTGCGTCATATCTGACTGCAGCTTTATCTCCAGTGTCTCCTTGACCAGATTGTCATCAGTGTACAAATTATCTTAAAGAAGAAAAACATGATAGACATGAAAGTGAAAGAATCTATATCTGAAGACGTGTCGCTCCACACAATAGACATCAACCTTGACAACACCAAATAGTTATCGACAACCACTACAGGAGACTCTTGCCTTTGTAAGTCACCAGTTTAGGAAGAACATCAGTTCATGATTATTGTAACTGCTTTAATTTGTTTACAAGAAACTATTGTTCACTTCTTTAATAATATAATTTTTTCAAAACAATTAAAAAGGAATTGGAAAACACACCTTCGAGCGATTAATTTCTGTCTTTCAGAAACATTGCTTGAAGTGAGCCATCACCACTCTTTTTGTTCTACTAGCTCAACTGTAGAGGTAAGGATTTTTTGACATCTATCCTTAAGGGTGGTTGTACAATGTGCTTGGAACTGGGGCTGATATAATTTCAGCAATAAGTGCTTGTCAACTTTTTCTCCTTCTTTGATGCTTTACCTTTGTACATTTGTCAATTTCAATTTAATTTGATTAAAAATATTTCTAAAGAGTAATAAGTTTTCAGTTGTTGCATATTTTGTTGACAATTGTGGTGGTTTAGGTAATAAATTCAGTTTATATATGGAGTGTGTTTTTATCTTTACATGTTACCTCAATATTTTATTGTAGCCATGGGACGAAGCTTGTCCAAACCTGAGCCCTGCCCACCTTCTCCTAAGAGTAAGATACTTTAAGACTACTGAACATTGACGTATAACAGATCATGACATATTATCCATTTGTGCTCTTGTTATTTCCTTTTAATGTGACTCATATATACATCAACATGTGAACTTTACTTATCAGCTCTAGGTGAACCATGGAGGAACATACCATGGGGGTGAGTGATCCGTTCAGTATGTGATGGCTGTGTTGAAATATATTTGTTCTCCAACTAAATATTTTTAAAACCAAAACTTAACAAATTCATGTGGTGAGAATTCCTTTTTTTATCTTATTTATATTTGAGCTCTTGGTAGCCTCATGTTGGTAGCCAACATTCTGGAAAGTCTCGCCACTGTGCTGCACTGTGCTGCAACAACAAAATAAATTCTTCTTCATGGACCAGCTGGTGCGGGAAAGTCCAGTTTCATCAACTCAATCGACAGTGTTTTACAATGCAGAATGGCTGGTTGATCCATTCTGAATTCAATTCAATTCAATTCAGTTCAGTGCAATGGTGTTTTATTGGCATGACAGTTTGAGAAAAACAATATTGCCAAAGCATCAAAATACATTTTCCAAAAATACTAAATACAAAATTCAACAAACAACACCAGGATCGCTATACATGTATATAATAATTTGGTATTTACAGGTATATTATTTTGTCCAATATATAGGGAGTTTGCCATTTTTTTGTGCTGTCTGAATGTAAAGCAAGAATTATGATACCCTATATAGCAGACTCATTGTATCCCACAATGCAATCCAAATCATAAAAAGTAGTGTACAACTGATGGTCACTAACCAATATAGACCATCACCACTCAGGCTGAAAGACAGAAAAACGGTGCCAGAGTAGTGTCTCAAAGTGTTTTTCATTTTACTGATGAGCTCACCATATAATCCTTTACATTGAACTCCCTGGATAGTGAGTAGGGAGTAGTGAATGAGTGAGTGATTTCGGACACAACCTATGTCTGTTAGGGAAGCCGATTGGTATATCTGGAGCACCTGTGGTGGCCAGTATATTCCAGGATCTTAAAGTTGAGGCTGAAAACTAGCTATTCTCTCTCTGCTCCTCCCCCCAGGCACAGCACACCCTAACACTGCTGTCCGGGAAGAGAGAGACAGCTCTAAGAAAATACTGAAACAATATGAAAGGTCCAAGGGAGAGTTAAAGTGAAAGTGAAAGAAAGAATGAGAATGACTGGGCAACCCATATAGTTAAACGCAGCTAGAAATAGGAGAAGAGGAGAAGAGAGCTGAACATTCCCATCATTGCTTGTAACACCACTTTGTTTTCAGAGGTGCAGCTTTGAGGTAAGAATCATTTATGTCAGCTATACTAAAATGTTGTAGTAGTGAATTTTGGCATTGTAAAACTGAAATGTTTATTTTACTGCACTGTTAAAAGCAATTAATAACAGATGAACAATGTAAGAATTTAGTAACACTTGACATGTTAGTAGTCTACTGTAGTTTATGGTATTTTCAATAACACGAGCCATCACAAATTCAATTTGGATTTGACATGAAACAGTGACAATTAGCGTTGCTTCAACATAATGAGTTGTTAATTTTATCTGACAGCTCCAGTAACTGTAACTTTCAGATAGAGATTTAACACACACACACACACACACACACACACACACACACACACATGCACACAGACACACACCACAGACACACCACATGCACACAGACCACACAACCACAAAATAAAACAACCCCCATCACACAGGACACACACACACAGACACACACACACAACACACACAGACACACACAGACACACACACACACATACAAACACATGCACACAGACACACACACACAGACACACACACACACACACACAGACACACACACACAGACACACACACGCACACAGACACACACACACACAAACACACGCACACAGACACACACACACACACAGACACACAGACACACAGACACACACACACACACATGCACACACACACACACACACACACACACACACACAACACACACACACACACACACACACACCACACCCACACACACACACGCCACCACAGGACAACACACACACAGACACACACACACGCACACACACACACACACACACACACAACACACACACACACACACACACACACAAACAAACAAGCAAACATATATACAGGTTTATAAAATACAAATCATTCATTTTACCTTTACAGATTAAACCAGTGATAACCAACATTTTTGGCTTGGGGTATTTTATAAAGAAATCCAGCAGCTATGGGAGGAGGTAAGTCTTGACCTGTCACTCTTACTCCATCCTGTAAGATGTTCCAAATATTATAAAAATTATTCAAATTTCAATAATGACAACATTCACAGGAAACAGCACGACTGTGGGAGTGTTTAAAAATATACCTTGGTCTTATTGTATGTGAATGTATGTCACTTGTCCTTCAGCATCTTCAGTCCTTCGTGAGCCATGGAGGCAGCTGCCACAGTAAGTATGAGTAAACATAAAGTCAGTGCGGTGCCATTGTACACTTGGTGCGTGGTTCTGCTC